TCGCTCTAATTGATACACCCAGCAAACACACGCACTCGTTATGCACTATTAATGGGTAAAATCAGTGATTAATTGCAGAGTCGTCATGCTCGCGGCTTTCCGAATCGATGCTGTCAAAATTATCACGACGGTCAATCAGAGGCGCGCAATCGGCGCAACGTTTCAAAATTGTAATCAATTCGAATTTGTAATGGGAATTTGACACTTCCTATGCTTATCAACAAGATACGACAATTAGCAATATTTTGTTTAACGGTTTTCAGAAATGTTAATAGACTGTAATGTGTAAAAGATGCGAAGAGAGGCAAACCGTTTTTCTTTAAATTCTAAATTAGCATTAATTGCAATGAAAGTTAAACCAATTAAATGTATCATGTAAAATCACGCGATGTAACGTGATAAAGATTCGTGCTAGCTTACACTCTTTGCTTTCAAAATCTTCATTTTTTTCTTTTTTCATCACTCGATTTTAGGTACACATACAAGTAATAGGATGCACATGAATATCACGTAAACATATATAGCGCGTTCACATGAAATTATAAAATAACCCAAAATCGTTATAGAATTAATGCTTTCATTTATTTTAAATTTTTCTGGCCAGAGAATCAGACTACGCATTGAAGATTGAAATTGAAAACTGAAGATAGAAATTTGACCTGTAAGAACAAAGAAATTTTAGCTCCTTTTGTTTTAATTGATTAAATTTTGATCTCTTAATTTTCAATCTCAATCTTCAATACATAATCTGATACCGGTCTTAAAAAATCATGCTAATCTTTGTTTTTAAATTTGTGTTATTTCCTAATTTTATAAATAATATTACACTGCATTTGATTGCAGAAATTGATCTTTTCTTCAGAGATATTACATGCATATATAGTTGAAATTACAGATTTACATTTTGATCCATAGTATGATAACGAATAAACAAATGCTCTCATAATAATACACACAATAGAAAATAATAATTATTATTGTTAATAACTGACATATTTTAATTAATTTAATTAATACGTTCGTATAAAAAAATATTCTATGTAAATTCTTTGTAGAATTAATGCTACAATCACGCGAAATTCACTTGATGGAACTTGTGTGTACTTATTGTACGATCAATATGATATATTAAAATGTGATAAATTTTTTATCTGCAATAGATTTACATTAAATCCATGATCTCGAAAAAAATAATGTGGATACATTATTTAAAAAATACAAATTGATTATTTATTATGCTTTTTAATTAGGTTTTATTAGTGTCTAAGAAAGATTCTAAAAACATTCGTGATAAGAAAAAAATTAATAATATTTTATGACTATTATGCATAAAAACAATAATTAAGGAAATAAATATGGAAACATTCGTCTTTTGCTGAAATATTGGTTTGGAAATTATTAAAATGTTGTGTTATATATTTTTTTTCTCTTCTAATGTGAAGATAATTTCTTATTAACATAATAATATTCCTCGTATTATAAAGGTAAATAAAAAAATTCTAAGCTAATCTCTATAAAATACAATCTTTACTGCGATGCAGCGAAAAGGTACTGTTGGCGACATCGTTCGGATAATCTCCGAAGTTGCTCTCCATGTCTCCCTCATTCCACTTGATAAAAGAAATCATTTTTATACAATATTTGAAAAAAAAAAAATAAACTAGTCCAAAATCGCTTTCATATACAACTCTTTCCTGGCGAAAATAAAAATCGAAGAGTAAGTCAAATGTAAGGGGAAAGTAAAAGAAGCGTAAACGAAGTTTTTAGGAAGCAAAATTTAGAACAATGAACCGTAAAAGAGACGTTTACGCTTCTTTTACATGATTTAGGTCCAGTTGTTCCACCTTTTGGTAAATCTTACCCAAAAGGTTGAGTAAGTAGCAAGATTATATGCGCGAATTGCCAGATTTATCTAACAGATAAAATTTACCAAAAAGTGGAACAACCGGCCCTTAGCACGGACTCTACATAACTTTTATACATAATCTAGTACTGCGATTTAGCACGGATTCGCACCACATTATTATCGACACATGATTTTATCACCAATCAAGCTACGTAACTACGTAGTTCCTAAATCAAAAATAGATATCCTGACACTACTATTGTGCAATTTCGACGTCGAAATAATCCCTTTTCAAGTTTCCCTCTATAGTTATAAATATCTACATTTACCTTCAACAAGTCGCATTATTTATATTTACAAACGTGTATATTAGAATCACGAATATTTAACCCAATTTTCACGCGTTTCTGCAGCCCTTCGACTGCCATCGAGATGCAACTTTGATTAACGTATTCAAAATCCGGTGATCATAGGCAGGTGGCGCTCACGGTGTCATGGCCTTTTCCTGTTCACGCTTGCACGAACGAAGACGTGAACGTAAGTTCTAAAGTAGAAATAGATATCGATTCAAGATAATTTTGTCACGAAACAATTCGGATTGGCATCGTAGAGCAGTCGAATATAAACGGGAACTGTGAGTGATCGTGCAGGTGCGAAAATATGTGTGAGATTGGCGCAGGAGGAATACGCCCGAAACAGCGGTACATGTGACCGCGTGGCCACATGTGTTTTGCCAGTTTCTGGCAATCTGTCGGATCTTTTCATTGAAAATTTAACGAATTAGAGCGTTCACCTTGCCTGCGATCAACTTGCCGCGACTCGGAACCGCATCGCGTCTTATCAATTTATCATCCAAGTTTTTTCGCCGTTAACGGTGTAATACCAAACAAAGCAACTAACCGCATCGAAAGATATTTATATTTCCTTCTTTCTCTTACGATCGTCGTTAATGAATTTATTCCAATGCAGCAAATTATTTTTTCAACAATTTATTGATAAAGAAAATTATGAAAGAAAAAATTAATAAAGATTTTTATTTTTAAATTATAAAAGTTTTATGTGTATCCTAATTTTATATTCATAATTTATTAAAAGCCATTTTAATTGTGCTAAATTTGTTATATTTTTTTAAACCGATTGGAAGAGAAAATATTAACATAGTATGATATGAAAAATAATTTGATATAGGTTTAGAAATTTCTGAAAATTTCATGTGTATCAGTGTAAATATATTTCAGGAAAAATAATAATTTAGAGTAATATTTTAAAAAACCATTCTATGTTAATAAACGAGTTATTGTTAATAGACGAGTTTTTTTTTTTTTTTTCAAAGAAAATTCTGAACTGTAAAATATACATATTTTTACTGGTGCAGCAAATTAGAGTGAAACAAATATAGTTCATCACTTGCTGCATCAGTGAATATTAGTTCGAAACTGTATTAAAAAAAGAACAAGTATTATAATAAATTATAGAATGATTTTTCTGGTATTTTATATTATTTTTCCTGAAGTATATTTATGCTGATACACATCAATATTTATTATAACATTTATTAAATATAGATTGTTTTACTCCAACTTACTGCATCAGTGTATATTAATTCAGAACTCTCATCGAGAACAAACAGAGCTCTAATCTTGTATTTTATTACAAGAACAAGTAACAGTTTTCTCTTTTTTCTTTGACAGATAAATGATGACGCTGGACGACAAAGAAGTTTTCGACGATATGGTGGTGGCAACCACAAATACGTTGCCGGTAGCCTTGCCAGCTGAATTGCCAGAGATCAAATTGTTCGGACGTTGGAATTGCGATGATGTACAAGTAAACGACATGTCTTTGCAAGATTACATCGCAGTTAAGGAGAAAAATGCTAAGTATCTTCCACATTCAGCAGGGCGTTATGCAGCAAAGCGTTTCAGAAAAGCCCAATGCCCTATTGTGGAACGTCTTACGAATTCTCTCATGATGCACGGCAGAAATAATGGAAAGAAATTAATGGCTGTGCGAATTGTTAAACACGCTTTCGAAATCATTCACCTTCTCACTGGCGAGAACCCTCTGCAGGTGAGTTCGCTATTTAAAGTTTATATTTAAGTTTTACATCTATATGAATAATTATATTGAGAATATTTTAAAGAATTTAATTTAAATTTATTATATTAAAGTAAAATTTATCTTTATAATGTTGCTTTATACGAACCACATTTATTTATATAATGCAATTTTGCTTGTAAAAATATATAATATAATGATAAATATATATGATGAAATGAATATATAATCCGTTATATAAATTAAATTTACTTATTATATATAATGTTTATTTTACTAAATTATTACACTTTTCGAACATTTGTGCTTCAGGTTCTCGTCACAGCCATTATCAACTCTGGTCCAAGAGAAGACTCCACGCGTATTGGACGCGCTGGTACTGTAAGGCGACAGGCCGTGGACGTATCCCCGTTACGTCGTGTTAATCAAGCTATTTGGTTGTTATGTACTGGCGCGCGAGAAGCTGCATTCCGCAACATTAAAACGATCGGCGAGTGTCTAGCTGACGAACTTATTAACGCCGCTAAGGGTTCGTCGAATTCATACGCGATCAAGAAGAAGGACGAATTGGAACGCGTTGCCAAGTCCAACCGATAAACTTTATACATGTGAAAAAAATAAATAAACGTTTTTTCTCTCCAAATTGTTCTTTACTTATTTATTTTTGATCCATTGTTTTTTATCGAGAAACTTCTAATAAATTTAATGACTGTATAGTCTCTGTTGGAGATGAAAGGATATTTATTCTAATTATTTAAATGCTATGTGTGTTTTCTAATTTCTTGTAAAAATAACAGAATAATGTACATTTGAGATAAAGAAAATTTAAAAGATTAGATTTTTTTTTTCTCGAGCCTACAACTTTAGATGGCTTTTGCATTTTTGCAAAGCTGAGAAAAAAATTGAAGTTGTAAGAAATTTATATTCAATACGTATATATAATATTTATTAAATAATAGTTATATTAATATAATTTCTCCGAAAAATATACATAATATAAATAATTTCAAAAGCTGTCGTTCATTGCGCAGATTAACAACGGCCTTTTCCATATTAATGCGTTCTGAAACTCATCATTACAGTCTCTCATCCATAAGAGTCAACAAGACACAATACTATATTTTGAGGTTAGAAAACTGATGGAGTGAAAAGAGATCTGTAATATTGAGTGTTAGGTAATACTGTCCTAATCATGGCAGGTGTTCTGAAAAAGGTAATTTATTTACGCATATAACAATGCAAGTTCTTAATTAGAATATCATAACTATACGGTGATCATGCATTCTTTATCGTAAAAGAAAGTTTTATTTTAGGTAGCTATTCGTCAGATTTAATAATTTTTTCTCTCTAAACTCTATTTTATACTTTAATAATACAGGAAATTCCTTTCTAATTAGCATTCCAATGTCTCTTCTAATGTATTAATGAACGAATTATTATGGAAACTACTGACAAATTTAGTTTTATACAAGAGCAATATAATAGTTCGAACAGAATAACAAAATCACAATAACATAAAAATAACGTCAAAATGAGTTATGATCGACTGGAAAGTGACTTAACAAATTTCCAATTATTTTGATGTTATGGTGACTTTTGTTTTACTTGATATACTATTCAAGAAAATTTCATAAATTAATGCATAAACTTCTGACAATCACAAATTAGTTTGAAAATTAAGGATAAAGTTCTCAAAATTTTCAAATTTATCCTTTATTTTCTCTAAGAAAATATGGTCACCGTAATCATGTTCACATACATTTACGTTATTCTTGACAATTAATTCTTGCATGAGCTCAAAATTCACTTATTGACATGAAATATCTTTTATTTACAGTCTACGTATATAAAAGGGTTAGCTGTTAGCAAGTATCCTCACCAAGAATTAATACCGCTGTACAATAGAATTTTGAGAGTGCTACAAAAGTTTCCAAAGGATTACACTTATCGGACAGAAACAGAGGGGATTATCAAGACTAGATTGACAGTCATGCAACAGGTGAAAGTTACTCATTGAAGTAGCAATTATCCTGTGCAATAATATCAACTGCTTTCCTTTTAGCAGTCATAGTCGACACTAGCATTCTATTCCTCTTGGCATTCAATGAATAATAAAGACAGAACAACATTGTTGTGTCGATTGTATTTTCTAAAAGGAAAGCTATCATGAGCTGTTTCTAATCGAGCATTATATTTACAGAATGAAAATATACAAGTTGTAGAAGACAAAATAAACTGTGGACAAGTGGAGGAGCTTATAGTACAAGCAAAGAACGAGCTATCTCTGGCAGAAAAAATGTTGATTTGGAAACCGTGGGAGAAATTAACACAGGAAGCACCACCCAATCAGTGGACGTGGCCACCGCATAAATAATTTTAGTTTGTTAATGATATTTGTATATAGTATGTAACTAAATGCGAATAAATAGAAAAAACGCATTATACAAGTTCACAATATTAATGCGACGTATTGTTATTTAATAAATATTCCTTACAACTTCAGTTGTCTTCTCAGCTTTGCAAAAGGTATGGAAAACTATTTAAAAATATGGTTGCAGATTTGAGAGCAAAATGAATAGATAAATCTTTGAAATTTCCTTTATCTCAGATCATGTCAAATATATTTTTCAGGGAAATTAAAATATTTATAATTATTTGTAAACAATTTTTCATACATGAATATGTATAAGTATGTATAAACATAAATAAATATTCATAAAGATGTATAATCATATATGAAATATATCCATGTTAATAAATGAAAAATTCTTTCTTTAGTAAAATTATTTTTTAGCATAATAGAAATAATAATAGTAATGTGAAAACATAAAAAATACTAACTAAGAACTATTAATTAAAAGGATAATTTTCGCGTTGTTCATTTTAGAAAAAAACAAGTTTAGAAAAATAAAAAAAATTGCTCATACACAATTATTCATAATTTTATAGATAATTATACAAAAGTAATTTTTTTACATTTCTTCAAAGTCGGTTTTTTTCTAAAACAAATAGATAGTGTAAAGATTACTCTTTTAATCATTTTTTATAATTTTACATTACTAGTGTTATTTCTATTACACTAAAAAGCAGTTTTACAAAAAAATAGGGATGAACATATATTTTATATATGTTTAAATATGTTTATGAATATTTATGTATATTTATACATATTAATACATATTCATACGTGACACACACAATGTGTAATTTTCTTTAATAATTATGTTATAAAATTTTATTATACGTATAGGACGATTACAAATAAAAATACATCTTTCGAGACTTGTATTTTAAACTTGTTTTAATATTATGGAGTTGAAGTGGGTTTAATTACCACACATCCATTAAACTCCAATAAAAATGTTAAATCACTCACCGACATAATGAGCAACAGTAGAGTTAAATCTGCAACGATGATTCTGCAACAAATAAATTAAAATCCAAATTAAAACAGAGTAAAGAAATAATCATTATTTAAACAAATAATTTCTGTATGAACGATACAATTTTCTGAAAAATAATCACGCAATTTTGAAAATATGATTTTTATAAGCATCGAATTTTGTATCCATTATTTAATTAAATACAAAATAATTATATATTCTCTAAAAAAGATTTTAGCAAGAATAAATTTGTATAAAATTTTTAAGTAACTTTTAAGTAACTCTCCTTTTTTATCTAATTATTATTTTTAAATTATTTCAAATAAAATTATTTAAAACAAGCAAAAAAAGTTAATTTTACACAAGTAAAAAATAATATTTACCGCAAGGTTGCTCCACCGATGCCCGATGCCTCCCCCAGACCTCCTCCTCCTCTCGGAATATGGTTGTCCTTTAGCACCGGACACTCGCGTACAACACCCGCGAATAATATACTACAATCGCGCGCGAACTACAACTTGAGTCCGCCAACTTGAACGGCACTCCCGAAACAAATGCGCGACGCGACGAACCGGCTGCGGTTCGTTTATTTTTAAGTAATCATCGTGTAATATTCACCGAAAAATATTAAAACGTAACGAGTAGATTATTTTACTGATGTTATAATATGCGTTAACGTTAATATTTCGACAGTTAAATTATCGGCGCGCGACCTTGAAGTGGAGATGGCACGGGTGGCACAGAATAAACATGACGCGCCACTCAGGGTGTCGCGCATTAATCTGGATTAATCCACGAAAATTAGATATCCACGAACACGAATTGATGAATTATATAAGGATGCTCAACTAGTAATGTTACTCAAAACTAAAGTGTGTGCTAAAAGGATTATATCTAAATTTATATTATTTCCTTTGATGATTTATACTTAAATAAAGGTTAATTATAAGTTATACATTCTTTAAATAACGACAAATGCAAACATTTTTTAAATTATAAAATAATTTGGACTGAATATAGTAATGGATATAAATAGCATTTTATGTTATATATTTAGAGATATAAATTAGAAATATCTAAGGGCGGTATTCATAATCCGTTCTTATTTCAAGTGTCTTAAGTTACGTCTTAAGACGCTAATTCGTGACTTCTTAAGACTTGAGACGGTCTTGAATATAAGCTCTAACTATGAATACCGGCTTAAGATATAGATTGTGTGCGTAACAATTCAACAAGTAAAACGAAATAAAGCATTGTATAATAAAGCATCGTGTAATATTCATCGAAGAATATTACACCGTACCGAGTAGATTATTTTATTGATTTTAGAATATGCGTTAACGTTTATTTATATAATAACTATATATTACATTTTTCAGATTATCTTCCCTCTCACGGGAACACCACGTCAAGGTATCGCACGTACATCTCCGTCCGAGGTCGCCGAGCGAATGCCGAAGTGATGACGTAGTCAACCACTACGGCGCGCGACACGCTCCCCCTGGTTTTTTCCGCGAGCCACGCCCCCTCTGGTTTTTTCCACGCGGCCCGCCCCCCCTCGTTTTTCGCCTGGCGCCGTTCAGATGTTTAACTGTTGCGTTTAAAAATATTTACGGTTTATTCAATTATTCGTATTTTATATGATTTTGACAAACGGGTATCTTCGTACATTTTGCGCTTTGCTCTATGGCATCTCTAGCACTTCAATATTATTTACCTATATTATTTACTCGGTTCTTGTAAACGTAATTAGTAACTGTTCGCGTGTGTGGAATATCTTTGATGTTTAACATTACGTCTGAATTTTTATTATTCTTTTAAATTCGTACTTAAATAAAAGTTGATAATATTCTATACATTCTTTTTATAAAGATAAATGCAAATTTTCTTAATATTGCGGAACATTATTTAGCTTACTTGTTATTTAACAAGTTAGTTATTACGACTTATTTAAAATAAAAAATATACAATGAATTCCAGAGACCCATTTAAAATGTAAAATCGTAGGAATCGGTAAAAAACTTATACGACTTGTTTGAAATAAAAAAATGTCAAATAGATTCGGGGAAACTTATTTAAAATACTAAATAAGAAATAAGTTAGAACTGTATAGTTATTTAAAATAATAAATACTAAATAACTTTTTTTTTATTTAAAAATATATATTTTAAATAATATATACTTAATATATACTTAAATAACTTTATTTTAATCCTTAGTAGTTATTAACTGATGAATTCGGAATAAACTAATCGCGATCATACTAAATAAATAAGCAATAAATAATAATAATTAAAACAGACTTTAATGTTTAAAATACGAAAAAATTAACATGGCTAATGAGGGTCAGCGCGGATAATTAAGCTCATGTTTTTTAGATTTGTTTTTCTTTTATAGTTTTAAACGTTAACTTTAAGATATTGAAACATATTTTTCTTTTAAATAATATTTTTGTTTCACAAAGTTTTATATTTTTGTATAAAAGAAGTACATTTTTGTCATTTTATCAATTATATTTAGTTATAACAATTTATATATAATTTATTATAAATATTTACAAATACTTTCTAAAGATCTCAAAATATATATAAAAATTGTTTAATGATTTTTATATACTTGTAAAAGTAATGAATATTAATCCAGAACATAAATGACCCAACATGTGTAGTAAGGGTGCCTAAAAAACTAAGGTGTGTACTAAAGATTAAAATAAAGTTATTTAAAGAAAATATATTTCAAATAAAAAAGAAAGTTATTTAATATTTATTATGTTAAATAACTATACAGTTCTAACTTATTTCTTACTTAGTGTTTTAAATCAGTTTCCAGAATCTGATATTTTTATTTCAAACAAGTCGTATCCGTTTTTTTACCGATTCCTACGATTTTACATTTTAAATGAGTTTCTGGAATTTATTGTATATTTTTTATTTTAAATTAGTCATAACAGTTATTTTACCGAAGTTTTCGAGTTATAACCGACATTACACGTAAGTTTAAAGAATTTTTCAAACACAGAATAATTTGGAGCAATAGAGAGAGTAGTGTCATAAATTAATTTTTTAGCTGAAAAATTAAATAATGGTCAACAAGATATTTAATACTTTTAACCAAAGCCGCATTTAGTGCAAATAATGTTCCGCAATATTAAGAAAATTTGCATTTATTTTTATATAAAGAATTTAAATAATATTATCTTTATAAATTTATTTAAGTATGAATCATTTAAAAGAATAATAAAAATTAAGACATAATGTTAAACATCAAAGATACTCCACACATGCGACATAATGTTGAACATCAAAGATATTCCACACACGCGACATAATGTTAAACATGAAAGATACTCCACACACGCAACATAATGGTGGACATCAAAGACACTCCACACACGCGAACAATTACTGATTACGTTTACAAGAACCGCGCAAATAATATAGGATTGAACAAGTACTAGAGATGCTACAGAACAAAGCGCAAAATGTACGGCGATACCCGTTTGTCAAAATCATGTAAAATACAACTAATTGAATAAGCTGTTGAATATTTTTCACATGCAGTATTTGAGTGTAATCTAAACAGTCGAAAAGCGAGGGGAAGCGTCGCGCGGCAAAAAGCGAGGGCAAGGGGGGCGCGGCGAGAAGCGAGGGGAAGGCTGGCGCGGCGAAAAGCGATGGGGAACGTACCTATGTCGCTACGTCATCACTTCGGCATTCGCTTGGCGCCCGCTGAGGGAGACGGACGTGTGATACGGTCGCTACAGGTTTCGCGCATTAATCTATAAAAATTAGACATTCACGAACGCGCATTGATCATTGATTACGTAAAGATGTCCAAATAGTAATTTTTCTCAAAACTAAGGTGTGTACTAAGAGTTATATCTCAATCTTTATTACTTTCTCTTTGATGATTTACATTCGAATAAAGATAAATAATTATACATTTTTTAAATAAACGTAAACGCAAACATTTTTAAAATTATAAAACACTTTGAACTGAATGTAATAATGAGTATAAGTAGAGAATTCATATATTATACATTTATACAGA